CCTCGAACTCAGAAATCCGCCTGCCTCTGCCTCCCAAGTGCTGGGATTAAAGGCGTGCGCCACCACTGCCCGGCTCAGAACCGTGTTTTTAAAACTGGCTGAAATTACTGACCTCTCCAGACTCTGTGAGAGGAGTGGAGCCTTGGAACACTTGATAGGGGGCCACTTCCCCTGTAACACCCCCTGCACCCCCACCCCAGGCTAAGAAGGCCAGGAGTGAGGCAGAGTCCCACTGAGCAGGGGGAATCTCAGGGGACCTACAATGGAATAACGAGAGAACGCGATTGACAAACATGCTGATTAAACAAATTAAAAGTTTTATTTTTTTGGCAATCTGAAAAGTCTCTTGGTGCCCAAGGTCAGGCAGGTATACAGTTTTTAAAGGCAAAACCCACAAAGATATGTCAAAGCTAGATGAGCGTCATGGTAGATTGAGGGTCAGAGTAACCTTGAAACATTCACTCCTGACAGAACATCGTAATCATTTTAGAAATAACTTAGCAATTATTTATGTTAGTACATCTGGACCATGGTCAAGGCTATAAAATCTCCAATGTGTTGCCAAGGACCACTGAGGCAAGGGGCATGGGGAGCGTGGAACAAGAAACAAAAACAAACACAAAGTCAAAGCTGTGGCTTACCTTTGTCATTTCTTTTCTTTTCCTTTTTTTTTTTTTTCTTCTTCTTCTCAAGACGGTTTTCTCTGTGTAGCCCTGGCTGCCCTGGAACTCACTATGTAGACTAAGCTGGCCTGGGATCAAAAGGGTGCCGCCACCACTCAACCTAGCTTTCCTTTAAATAAATATTTTTAAAATTATGTATATGTATGCATGTGTCAACATGAGTTCAGGTGTCCATGGGAACCAAAGTGGAGGCATTGGATCGAGGGGAGTTGGAGTTACAGGTAGTGAAAGCTGCCTGATATGGGTGCTGGGAAATGAACTCAGGTCCTCTGCAAGAACAGCAAGTGCCTTTAACAACTGAGCCATCTCTACAGTCTTAAACCCTAAACTAAATTCGTTGTATAAACATAAACAACATTTGCTATCTCTTGTTCTTGAACCGCTAGAAAACTAGGTACAGGAGATTCTAATTGTTACATTGATAAAGATATGTTCTAAAATCCAGTCCCTACCCCTGCTTTTTGGAGGTGGGATGAGCCTTTCTCCATTCAAATACTAGACTCTCATATTCAAATACTGCACCTATAGCCATGGAGAAAAAAAAATGTTTAAGCCGGGCGGTGGTGGCACACGCCTTTAATCCCAGCACTTGGGAGGCAGAGGCAGGCGGATTTCTGAGTTTGAGGCCAGCCTGGTCTACCGAGTGAGTTCCAGGACAGCCAGGGCTACACAGAGAAACCCTGTCTCAAAAAACCAAAAAAAAAAAAAAAAAAAAAAATGTTTACCATGTGTCCCAAGTGGCTTCTTACACAAGTACCTTAGTGCTAAAATGGCATAAAATACCTTTTGTTCTGCTCACCATCTGTTTTTGCTTTGCTTTTTCGTTTGTTTTTTTTACTTATTTTGGTTTTATTTTTTTGAGATAGAATTCCTCTGTGTAGAGGAACTGGCTGTCCTGGAACTCTAGACCAGGCTGGCTTCAAACTCAAGAGATCTGCCTGCCTCTCATGCTGGGATTAATGGCAAGCACCACCACTGCCTGGCAGATAAGTACCTTTCATATAAAAGTACCTGCCCTCCCCCAGACAGGGTTTCTCTGTGTACTCTTGGCTGTCCTGGAACTTGCTCTGTAGATTAGGCTGGCTTCGAACTCACAGAGATCCGACTGCCTTTGTCTCCCACGTGCTAGGATTAAAGATGTGTGCTACCATTTACTGCTCTAACATAAAACTTTTATCATGATCTTATTTTTAGATAGAGTCTTCCTATGTAGCCTAATTCTTGAACTTGCAATACTTCTCAGCCTCCAAACCAGCCAGTCATTTATGCCAAGACAGGGAGTTGTTTTGATGGCTGTATATGTGATTTTACAGTGTACTATATATAGTTAAGTCATATCTCCTGTCTGTAAACATGTTCCTCAAAGAATTACAGCTACAAGGGTTTGTTTCTTGGGGATGGAGAGATGACTTAGTAGTTAGAATCACAGGCTCCTCTTCCAGAGGACCAGATTCCCAGCTTTTTGCTATTTTTTTTCCCATCAATTGCTAATTAAGAAATTGCTTTACACCTTTGTCTGCAGCCCAATCCTATGGAGGCATTTTCTCAACTGGGGCTCTTTCAGATTACTCTAGCTTGTATCAGGTTGACAAAACAAACAAACAACAAACAAACAAACCAAAAACAAAACCCAGCTAGCACAATGTGCACATGAGTTCTCTTGTGTGGGCATGTGTCTACATGCATGTAGAGGCCTGAGGCTGACACTGGGTCTTCCGATATCGATGTCCACTTATTCTCTGAGAAAGGATCTCTTTTTTTTTTTGTTTTGTTTTTGGTTTTTTCGAGACAGGGTTTCTCTGTGTAGCCCTGGCTGTCCTGGAACTCACTCTGTAGACCAGGCTGGCCTCGAACTCAGAAATCCATCCATCTGCCTCTGCCTTCCAAGTGCTGGGATTAAAGGCGTGCGCCACCACCGCCCAGCAAGGAAGGATTTCTTAAGAGAACCCAGAGCTTAACAATGCTTCTGGCTAGCAAGCTTAACTTGGGTTTCCATCTCTGCCTTCCAAGTGCTGGAATTAATATACAGCTCACAAGACTTTTATGTGGGTTCTGAGGATCTGAACTCAGGCTCTCAGGTTTGTGCAGTGTTCTTTCAGATGAGCTATTCCCTTAGCCTGGCAAATGTTTCTAAAAACTGGAAGTTAAGCTGGGCATGGTGGCACATTCTTTTAATCTCCACACTCATGAGGCAGAGGCAGGATCTAAGTTTCAGGCCAGCCAAGGCTACTTAGTGAGAAGGCCCTGCCTCAAAACAAACCAACAATCTCTCCCATATCCCTTCAAAAACAAACAAAAAACCTGGACGTTATATACAGGCCTAGGTCAAAAGTCTTAAATGTTCACTGGTGATTTGTAAAGAAAATTATACCACCATTATCTTTCAGATGTTAACGTTTCTCATACACAAAAAAAATCTCTAGTGCTATTACACATGCCATTTGTGTGTTCAACACATTACTAGCCTGCTCAAAGGATAGCTCTCTTGTCCTGTAGTCTCAGAAAGACCACATGTAGTACAAAAGGTTCCTCAATGTAGTCTGTCCAAGCTGTAATTGCACAGGGCTGGAGAGATGGAACACACTGCACTCCTAAAGTTTGGTTCTCAGCATTGAGCAGTACACAGCTATCTCTAGCTCTAGTTCCAGAGGAAATGACTTTGTTTTTTTTTTTTGTTTGTTTGTTTGTTTTTGTTTCTGTGCCTCCCACACATACAGACACAAAAATAAAAATCTTAAAAAAAAAAACCAACAACCCCTAAAACACCTTTTTTCTCCCTCTTGACTTTAATATTCCCATCAGTCAGTTTCAGCCAGATTCTTAGAAATGAACCAGACTAAAAACCAACTAATGAACTAAGGAAATAATAGTTAACATTCAACTAATCCTGCGTTTGTTTGTCCTCACAACACAAGCCACCTGTAGGAGGGTCTTTACTGGGCCCTGGCTGGCCTTGAACTCAGATACGCCTACCTCTGCCTTCTGTGTGCTGGGATTAATGGTATGTGCTATTTAGTGTCTGACCCAGAGATATCTTCTGAGAAGCCCTTGCTGTAACAGTGCCCCTGCTTCCATGTGCCTGTGTTGTGTTCTCTCAATGAACTTTTTCTTCAGCACTTCCCTCAAACTGTCCCCTTTATCACAGTCAACATCCTGGGAAGAACCATTCCGTTTTCTTTTTCCTTTCACAGTAGGTACTAGTTAAAACTTGCAGTCTTCTTCTCAGATCCTACCTATAAAGTGGTGGTTATTATTGCTTGTTTTCCTTTGGTGCCAAAAAGTCCTCCCCAGAGCCATTTTCACATTCCCATTAGACAAGAGTAAAAATGTGTCTAGCTAGCATAATCTCATCTTTTTTTTTTTTGGAGTTCTCACAAACTAGAGCATATGAGTGATGTCCTTGAACTTGGGTAGTATCCATGATGGCCTTAAACTAGGCTTCCTGCCTCTACTCCCTGAGTGCTGGGATTCAGGGTTAGAATATTTAGCTTGGAATATTTGCGTGTTTGCATGTGTGTACAGGTGCAGAGGGCTGGAGGCAACTTCGGGTGTTGCTCCTCAAGTGCCGTGTGTTTCTTCTCTTTGCTGTTTGTATGTGTATTTGTCTGTGTGAGTGTATGTAGGTGCCAGAAGCTAACACTGGACACCTTGGAGCTAGACTTATAGGCAACTGTGACAGGTAATGGGACCTGAACTTGGGCCCTCTGTAAGAACAGTACTCAGTTCTTAACTGTGAGTCATCTTTTTGGTCCATTTCCTCTTATTTTTTAAGACAAGGTCTGTTGATGGGGCTGGGGTTTGCCTTAGGGCTGAACTGGCTGGTAGAGTCTCCTGGTCTCTTCCTCTCCAGCACTGGGATTGCAAGTGTGTGACCATACCTGATTTTTCACATGGGTGCTGGGGACCAAATTTAGGTTCACATAGTTGTGTGGCATGTACTTTACCAAGCTATATTCCCAGCCCTGAAATATTAAAAAATAGTTTGTGTGTGTGGTGGTGCATGTCTTGGTATATACATGGGTGTCAGAGGACAGTTCAGTGTTCTCCTACTTTTCTGACAAAGGTTCTGGGGATTAAACCCAGGTCACCAGACTTGCACAGCACCTTTATGCCTCAGACCATTTTGCTGTCCTGGAAAATTTCTAAAGAGACTCAGAGGAGATGAGAGGGTGATATTTAGCCCAAGGAATGGAGGCAGAATGCCAAGGTACCAGACATTATCTTTGTTTAAAGATATATTGATTCCCATCAGTCAGTTCCAGCCAGATTCTTAGAAATGAACCAGGAGACTAAAAACCAACTAATGAACCAAGGAAGTAAAAGTAGCCAAGAAAGGTAGGACATTTTATTTTACATACAAAACGGGTGCAAACTGAGTCTTTCCCTCCCCAAGGGGAAGAGGTATACTTAAAGATCACATTTGTGTTGTCGTGATGCCCTATGAAATGGGCTACATATCCAACCCACATTCCATTTTCTCCAAAGGTTATTTCCTCTGCAAAGAAGTCTTCTCCAGTGGTGTTCAAATCTCTCTACTGGAGGAAACATTTCAAATACACTTGAAATTGACATTCATTTAAAAGGTTTTTGGTGCATGGAATGGCCTGGGATTTGGTCTGGAGCTCCTGAAGAGGGGCACCAAAAGGTTTCGCCGAACCCTGAAAGGTGCGTTTGGGGGTAATCAGGATGGCAGTTGTCTGTGCATTGCTGGGATGACCGCAATGCTTTCTGGCTTTTCTCACAGATAATCCTCTGCTCTTAGACCTTAAAGGTGGTGATGGCACCAGAAAAAGAGATGGGGGAGAGGCGGTATTCTGTCCACACAACTGAGGTTTCTTTATAAGATCAAGTTTGGTAACTGAACTAGAGATATATGGAGTGCATATTTCATTTTCTTTTCCTTGATAATCTGATCTATAAATACTGGAGTGGGTTTCCTGGTTGTTTTGTTTTTCTGAGAAAATATTTCAGCTACTATTGCCTATATTCAGGGGTCTACTTACTATTTTGAATACATTAAGAAGTCTACTCTTCTGTACTTAGTTACCTGCAAAAGTAGGAAAAAACACCTTCAGACTAGTTATTGGATCCAAGGCTCCCAAGACTGGCGATGAAAACACTGCTCAAAACTTTACAAACTCACAGAAGGCCATGGTGGCCTCTTCTACTTCATAATAAAAGATTAACCCCCTTAAAACAAAGTTGTCCAATAAACAAAGGAATTCTAACTTGATTCCTACCAACCCATCATGGGGAAGGCTGGAGCTATTGGCCATCAATCTCTACTGGGACTTCCTTGAAATCTGTGAAATCAAGAAACCCAGAGATAAGTGCTCATCGCCCACATGGCCAGTCCAGATGGGCACCTAGTTATTCTGGCTCCCTGAGGGTCTCTGGAATCCACCTGCCCACCTGGGGCAATGGAGGCGATGGTGGCAGTGGCCTGGCAAAGGCAATGCTGGTTATATGACCATGCAAACTCCTGGTCTTAAAATTCAGGCCATGGCATGACTGACACTAGACAAAGCATCATTAGAACAGCTAAAGAGAAATGAGAAACTGGCTTCACTTATGAACACGGAGAGGTGGCTGGGACACAGCCATATGGGCTTGGGAGGGAGGGATCAAAAAAAAAAAATCAAGACCAAGTTCCTTTGAGGAAATGCTTCCTAGATGGAAGTTATTCTTGAGAGATTCGGCCATACTTGCTCAACATGGAGGGGAATGAATTATCTTTTACATTATTTTCTTTTAAATTAAGGCTATGATCCTTAGCAACCACTTTAACACAGCATACGTCTGACATTGCAAGTGGTTGCCAAGATTGAACATCAACACTGAGTAAGCAAGCACTACAACACACTTTCCTTCTGAATTAAACTGGAAGTTATTTTACAGAAGATGGACACCATCTGGCTAATGGACATGGGCTGTTTCTGAATTCTTGTCATTCACTGAAAATGAAAATGAGATTAACAAAAATCTCGGGGTCCTTGCTGTTTCCTGAAATTTGTTCCAATTGAAATGGGGATTTTAACTGGAGACTTACCTAGTCACCTGACTTACACACACCTTCACAGACCCTGATTGCTCCTAGACAGACCTCAATAGAAGAATGTTAATTAAGGCAGTCATGAGTGCTCACTAGCTGCTGGCGCATTCAGTGCAGCCTTGCGTGCAGCCTTTCTGGAGTAAAAACTCTGAAAATCCACTTGTATGACTGGACACTTTACACCCTGGAGTAACCCTGGCCTGGTTGGACCTTAGTCTGCTGAGACTGCAATGTTTCAAAGACAGCAAAGCTTGAGGAAACTCCAAATAGTACAGTATCAAATGCCTGCAGGCTCAGGGAAAAGATGAGTTAGTTTTAAGGGAAAGCAAATGCATCAATCTTCAAGACAACTTTCCTCAGGTGTCAGGTGAGATGGAGCGAGTCAACATGGATGAAAGGAGACGGAGGGGGTGCCGGTGCCTGAGGGTCTAGCTGCGCCTACAGTCAGGCAGGAAAGAGACACAGGGATGTGCTGGGGTAAAGGAGACGGAGGGGGTGCCGGTGCCTGAGGGTCTAGCTGAGCCTACAGTCAGGCAGGTAAGAGACACAGGGATGTGCTGGGGTGGGGGGTGGCTGAATGATGAGCAGATTGTTTCTGGGGAATTCAGTTATATTTTAATTTTAGGGAAGATAAGAGAATTACTCAGGTTTGGGATCACCTTGGAGCATCAATGGCCTTAAAGGATCACCACCACCCTGCATGTTAAAGGCTCTTTGCTACAAACCCCAAACATCTAGTAAGGGATTTGTGGGTGCTGGAGGGTCCCAAGAGTGCATTAGGGAGGACCTTCCCCCACATCCACAAACCACTCAGATTCAACCCCTCAAGAGCTAGCCTATAAAAATATTTTAAGACAAAAAAGAACTCTTAAGCACAGCTGCAGGGCACCCCATCCTGCAGCCAAGCTGGTCACTGCCTTTGCTTTACCTTGGAAGCAGCGTGGGGGAGGCACTTAGTGGGGCAGACAGTGCCAGGATGCTCTAGGCCTTGCCACCATTTCCTGGGATGAGGATTTTTAAGTTTCTGTAGGGAAGTCAGAGTCGCCCATGTGCCAAACGAGAGACTATAAAAACTTTAGTGACGAGCTTTGACTGCTATACAGTAAAAAGGAAGCAAATCTTAACACTCAAATTCCTTATGGGAAAGGGGTCTGACCTGACATCTCCCCGCCACTGTTTCACAGATAAAAACATTTCTTGTAAAGAAATGCCCAGGTGGCAGTATTTACAAATGTTGAGCAGGTCTGAAGTCAGTGAGGAGAGATTCCCTAGCCAAGGTCAATAGAATAGGTAAAGCACACAAACTCTGCTTCATTTGATACTAAATTTGATCCATGATCACAAAGTGTCCCGACATCTTCCAGTCCTCTACATACACAAGCAAAGAGTTCTGTGCTGCACTAAGTGACTAGCCACTGTCCTGTGTGGTCAGCTCTTTATACCCAGACACAAGCCCTCTTTCCCCACGTGAATAATCAATCCTTCTTGCCACAACTAGTATAAGAAGTCACCATTTGGAAATGGCACTAATCTCAAATGAAATAGAACACGGGAAGAGTAACTTCACACATTGTTAACTATGCAACCAGTGATGCTTCATGGTCCAGGGAAGATGCCACGGTGGAAGGTAGAGACTGTACTGGGAAGAACATGCTAAGATATGTGGTCATATTATCTGGACAGAGTCTCTGTTCAATTGTTAAGATAAAATTTTAGACCTTTCATTAGTTTCCTTTTCCCTGGGATTTCCTAGCACCAACCAATCTTACCTTCCCTGCTTACTGCAGCCCCAAGATTATCACAGGTGTGGTTTCTAAGGCAGACTGACCCAAATGAAAGAAAATATTTATTTTCTTTTCCTGGCCCTAGGATGCTGCATCCTGAGGCTTCTCTGGCAGTTGGAAGGCAAATTTGGTGCCCCCTTTTGTCCACTACTGGCAATATGGTGGTGGCTGTTTTGTCACTAATTTTGTCTCCCGAGTCAACAGAAAGTCACATGGCTATCTAGAAGGACGACCTTGGCTGTGGAGGAAACAGAAATTTTGCTTTGTTGCTGTTATTGTTAAGTATCTCCTCTCTGAGACGAGGTGCCTTCTGGTTGGTCACAGTCTGGCTCGGTGCTCATCCCAAGTGCTCAGGAGCTGGGCTTTCAAGCTCTGGGCTGATTAGGTCAAGGGGCTCTGGTGGGGACTTTTATTCTGCAGCAGAGAAGATGAATGAAAATTCAAGTATGTTTCCTTGCCAACCGGAGTATTTACTCAGGATGACACAGAGTTTGGCTTCTTCTCTTCCAAGTGCTGCAAATCAGATTCTTTCCATCAAGAATGTCCTCTGGACCCACATTTTCTCTGAATGGCTTGGCTGGCCCATCCCCCTCAAAAAAGAAAAAAGCAACCACCCAATACAACCGGACACAATATGCATCTGCCATGTTGTTTATAAAATAAAAACAAACCCCAAAAAACTAAAAGTGCAATAAAGTCAGTTTCCTTTCCTTTGCTCAGAACCACAGGAATGGCTCGCTACAGTCCGGAGCAAGGAATCTGCTTGTCAAAAAAGCTAAGAACGCCAACACACAGGGACAGTAGACTGTAGATTGCTCACAGCTTGTGTCCTACAGTGTAACTTCACAGGAGAGATGGAGGGACGAAGGGAGGGGGATGGAGGAAGGGACCTGAACCCTGTGGCCAGCTGCGCTGAGGGGTTACCCAGGCACAGAGGGAGAGGAAGCCACATTACCAGACACACCTGGGAAGTGGAGAAGTTCTCCAGCCCAGGGCTGTCATCTTCCCCTATCTTCTTGGCCACACCACCAGCTTCTTGACAGAGCCTTTAAGCTTAGTAGTTTTTATGCTGGAGAGGGTTGAGGATGGTGCAAGAGCCAGGAATAAAGGAAGAGGAGGGAGAATAGTAGTCCTTGAGTTTTTGTGAATGACACCTTCACTGTAAACAATGGGAAGAGAGTCAACCAGATAGCCTAAGGGCAAGCAGTGGAGAAGCAGCAGCTCTGGACCGCTCAGAGCTCAGACAGAGAGGATTGCCACTCGCCCACTCGGCCCTGGCTGCCTGCACTGGCTCCTTCTGGGGGCATTTGTTTTCTTCTTTTTGGTTTGGATCTCTCCCCTCCCCCACAGGAGTCCCTTCCAATGAGAAATGGCAGGAGCTGCAGGTGCAATTGGAGCCAGAGTCCCCAGGACTTGAGGACTCATGGGAGGCACTGGTCACTTGTGTCGCTGAGCAGTCTTCTTCCTTTTCCTCTTAAAGAAACAGCAGCACCTGGAGCACAAGAACATTTTAAGTGAGCCTAGAAGCCTCCAGCTCCCAGCAAATCTCTGCCTGCTTCTGCTTACTGCAGGGGGTAGGATTTTTTTTCTCCTGGTGCCCACCCACAAGGCCACCTGCCATCTACAATACACATATACTAGAAGTAGCAGGGGTCTGTCAGGAAAGCTAGAGGCAGTGGGTGATTTGAGCTGCAGCCACTCTACTCAAAATGCTGTCCACTAGGCATGGCTGCCACAGGCATTTCTGGAAGAAGGGTAAAGAAGGCTTTGTTCCCAGACTAACATCTAACCAAGACACTCCATCTTTGCCTAGAACCAAGATGGAGGGTGCTCAGGGTAACATAAAAATAGGCTGCACTGGATGCCCCTTGATACTGGCCGCAGTTCAATGTAGCTTACTGGCCAGTAGGCAAGGAGGCTAAACTAAGACAAATAAATATGTCTCACACAAAGTATGAAATCTAGAATCCTGGCGATCACACGATGCCAACAAAAGACTAAGATCCTTTCTACCTTGTTCTGTTCCCAACACATGCCTGGAGTAAGCAGAAGCTCTAGCTCATAAAGGGGTGAACTTTTACCTCCTGACACAGGCACACGTGCCAATCATCCAAAGGGGACAAATGCCTGATGCCCAGAAGCTAATCCTCTGGAAACTCTAGTCACAGGAAATTAGTCCCCAGTTAGTTTCCCAAGACTGCCCCTGTTCCAGACGAGGTTAGCCACTGGTGTGTTTAAGGTAGAGGCTGAGGCCCTGCAAGTGCCGTGTGATGGGGGAACAGCCTGTAGAGGAGTGGTGTGCTGTCTCACCCTAACTCTGAGGATGCCTTCCTCACTCCAGCCTTTGCACTAGGAAGTGTAGCTGTCATACAGGCACTGGAGAAGAGGCATTCAGGGCCATTGCAAGATTGATACAAAAGGTATGTTCGGTCCAGAAATGATAAATGCGAAATGAGAAGGGTGGGCAGAAGGCAGAGGATGAGTCAACGATGCCAGACATTGGAAGGAAAAAAAGTTGTAAGTAAAGCTCAGATGCTTGATCCTTGAAAGAAAATGTTTTCTGAGAAAACTATCTAAGTCTCTTACCTAATCCTTCCAGAGCTGTTTAAAGTTACTTCTATTATTTTTTGTGGGTGAATGTGTTAGCCTGCATATATGTCTCTGTATCACATGATGCCTGGTGCCACGGAAGCTGGAAGAGGACATCAGACTTGTAGGAGCAGACTTACAGAGAGTCATGAGCTGCTATGTGGGTGCTGGAAAATGGAGCTGCATGCTCTGGAAGAGTAGCCAGTGCTCTTAACTGCTGAGCCGTCAGTCCAGCCCTGCTTCCCAGGTTTTAGTGAAAGGGATATTCTTATAGAAAGGCACTACTGCTCTCTTCCAACATTCCTACATTCCCCTGCAGCTGATCACTCTCCCTTCAGACCCCTGTGTTACTATGTTTTCTTATGGTGTTTCTAAGATTTTCATCACTAGATATTTGGATAAAGTTTTTTCTTGAAATTATCTTTTGAGACAAGAACTCATTATTATGTAGCCAACGCTGGCTTCAAGTGTGCAATCCTCTGGCCTCAGCTTCCCAGAGTGCTAAGATTTATAGGAGCCTACCTAGAGGGAGAAAGTTTTTCAGAATGCAGAAAAATAAACATTTAAATAGATAGCAATGTGACCTTTAACTGTAATTTCATACAATTTGAGACAGGAGGTTCTTAAGAGAGTTTTAAAATATTTTCTTCAAAATTTGGTCATGGTTATGTTTTTCTGTAATTTCAGTGCTTGACAGCTAGAAGAAGGGTTATAAGTTAAGAGTCATTCTTGGCTACATATCAAGTTTGAAGCCAACCTGGGCTGTATATAGGAGACTTTGTCTCAATAGACAGACAGATTGTGTGTATATGTGTGTGTCTGTCCCAACCAGACCTGTGTATCAATGACATTAGTAAATGTCATTAGTTAGTGTGAACAAAAGTGTCATATACATCTAGAAACCGAATAAGTTATTTTAAATAAAAACTTTTGCTGGGCAGTGGTGGAGCACAGAGAAACCCTGTCTCGACCCCCCCCCCCAAAAAAAAAACCCCAAACCAACTTTTGATTGCTTAACATAATCCTTAATGAAAACAGAGGAAGAATTCAAGAAAAACATTTATTTATACATATGCATTAGAAATGAACATTTGTTTTTAAATTTTTTTATTTATTTTATGTGTATGGGTATTTTGTCTACATGTATGTCTATGCACCATGTGTGTGTGTGCCTGGTCAGAATAATGCATTCAACCGTTAGAACTGGAGTTATAGATGGTTGTGAGTACCAGGTGGGTGCTGAGAAATGAAACTGTTTGCTCTGGAAGTGACCTTAACCATCAAGCCATCTCTCTAGTCCCAGAAACTGGGACTTGAATCTGCCAACTTGAATGTCCAGAATTTAGTATTTAAGTGGACAAGTCAAATTTCATGAAGAATCAGTATTTCAACAGTCTACCTGTTTTCTTTCGACTATGATTTTTAGTAGGTTTTCTTTTTCTTTCTTTTTTTTTTTTTTTTTGGTTTTTCGAGACAGGGTTTCTCTGTGTAGCCCTGGCTGTCCTGGAACTCACTCTGTAGACCAGGCTGGCCTCGAACTCAGAAATCCACCTGCCTCTGCCTCCCAAGTGCTGGGATTAAAGGCGTGTGCCACCACCGCCTGGCATCCAGTGAATTCTTTTTTACTTCCTACAGGGCAATTCGAGGAATTAGCACGTGCTTCTGCTCAATTACCAGAGTTCACATAATAAGCTGAAGTTATCATCCAGAGTCAGCCATATTTTGCATTTAGAGCCCTATACAGCTTCAGCTGAAGTAGAAGCTTTTAATTCTACCAATGAGGAGCGAACCCCACAATCTGTTCTTGAAGGCTTGGTTTCTGTGGTGACCACTAGCAAAAGGCTCTCGACTGGAGGCCAAGTCTACTGAGTAACTCTACATAGAGTCACTCAGAACAGAATACGGACAAATGACCAATTCTCTTTGTGTCTTAGGTTTCCTTCTAGTTGCTCCTTTGAGTGACCAGAAATTCTTAACAAGTTAGAATCAAAACTGATCTAGGCTTTTACTCACAAGCTGTTACACTCTTCCCACAGGTCTCTGCCCTGAGCCATTGTGCTGTGTATCTCAGCACTTTCCTTTAAGCTGCCCCCTTGCAGTTTCTCTTCTTTACCATACTTTTTTTTCCTCTTATGCTCTAAAATTGGTTCAAAGCCCTACTGTGTCTGGAAGTCTTCCTTGAGAACTCACAGTGACTCCTCACTAGCTCAGCCTTCTATAGAAGTCTTTATCTTTTCCCATGTGTATGACTCACTTTGCAGCTGGGTATAACCTAAGCCCTTTGGATAGGGCCTCTGCTTCACTTGCCCTGTCCTTCCCTGCCATCCCCAGTCTCTGATTTCTATGTACAAGATTGGATGAACATAGTAGAACCTAAAGTATTTGCAATTGGGATCATGTATCTGACACCTCACAGGGAAAAAAAAAAAAAAAGACCATGACAACATTAGATTACACAGACACATGAATAGGCCCAATGTCCTCTTTGAAACTCTAACACTATCAGTACTATTTCCCTAAAAACCAGCTCTTATCATCAACAACATATCTGTTCTTAGGTAAACCCCTGTGGACAATTTGACTTAGATAGTTGGGGTTTAGAGACCAGGGCCCAATCCAGACACTGAAAATAATTTTTCAAAATGAAGTAGTCAGAATCCAGTAGGCTATTATCACAGAATAGACTATGATCTTACATGTACAGAGTGTGTGGAAGCGTTACAAAAGTCACAAGCATGAATCCTTCAGGGATTTCCTTCCACATCCCATATTTCCTACATTTATATTAAAAAAGCCTTTTCTGGAAGAAAAGACAGGCTTCCATATTTCTGTCAGTCCTTGACCTATTATCCTCTCACAAAAGCATAAAGGTATAAAGGCAACAAAACAAAACAAACAAACAAACAAACAAACACCCCCAGAAATGTTCAATCAACAACAAAATGTAGATCTTTCCCTCAAGGAGTTCTCCTTTTTAGAGACTCTTATTATAGATGAAAAAACTAACCAAAATCAGTAAGAAACTCAAACTTAGGGATTCCTCCAGTCTATTTCCGTGTTACAAAACAAGTTGCTAAAGGTGAAACTAATTACCTGATAACATTGTTTTACGGTTATTAAAACATCTAAAATCTTATCTTCCTAACCTTGGTCCCTCCTGATAGTTCTAGTCATAACTTGGGGACAAAAATTTAGAAAGAAGTTCATTCAACTTAAAAAAAAAAAAAGTTAAGTTTGGATATTGTGAGACATTGTTTTTGGTAAGAGAGTGCAGTGATAAATGAGGTGGGTTTGAAAGAAAAGAAGGAAAGGATTGATCTCTGGGTTCAAGGCTTGCCCCATCCCACCTTGTGACCTAACTTCCCTAGTCTGGGTGGTTAAGGGGTAAGAAAGTACATGGATCCATTCAGTATTTCTAAGGCTTTGCCAATCCCAGTCTAGTCTGGTCCACTCCCCTTTCATGTGGACTGGAGAGAGGGACTCACCACAGGTTGAGCATTTTCAGGCAGCTACAGAGTATATAAAGAGAAAAACATAGGGAGAGAGAGAAAGGGGGGGGGGGAGAGAGAGAGACAGAGAGAGAGAGAGAGAGAGGTATTAGTCCACAGGTGAGAGGGAAATGACTCCCTGTGAGCCATGCACACATGCAGTATGTGTCTGTGTTTAGTTTCCCCCAGCTGATGGAGCAAGCCACTTGGACTTCACATTTAAGAGAGGGGCAGAAGGCCTGACAGAAACGTCAATGTGGGATCTGGATCTCAGGAGGATGCAAAACAAAAAGAGCTGGTGGAAGCCTCAGGTGAGCTTTCCAGGGCAACTTCCAGGAAGGCAGCAGGGGAAGGAGCAAAGGACTCTGGCTTGTGAACCATATGGTTCCCATACCAGGTCTCCCACAATGTCCAGCTAACTTCCCTCCTGTAAAACTAGCACTTAAGTCTTCTTAGAGGGAGGAAAAGTTTATGAGATACTTTATCCTATTAGATGAGTTAATACACTGCTTAGGTATAACCACCAAAGAATGACCTAAATTCTAATTACACTAATTCTCGGGAGAAATTGGGCCCACAATTGTCAAGATATAGCAAAAGTATTGATTAAAAAAAAATCAACCTAAAAATCATTTGCCCTCACCATTGCTTCAACCACATTTCAAAAAAAGTGTCCTGTGGCTAGAAGAAAGGGGAAGTCAAGTGACTATTTTTTTTTACATGGATCAAAAGCCATCATCTTGTGGTTTTGTTCTGTCTTTACACAAAACAAGCTGGGAAAAGGAATTTAAAATCATAAGCTTGGAGCTAAACATTTCATACTTTCCTTGTACTTGAGTTTAACTCCAATATAGGCGACAGCCTCCTTATCATATCAGCGGTCTCCGGGAACAAATGGCACCATAGCCTTGTGCAGTGAGGGGTTGTTGGGACACCTCAGGTCTCTCTAGCTTTCACTTTTCCATTAAAATCAGCTAGTGACTATATGGCTACTGTGTCCCTACTCCATACATACCAACATACATATACCACAGACACATGGCTGAGCCCTGACAATTCCCTAGGCAAGGTGGACTGGTAACTCAGGAGATCACTACCAGAACCAGTATACAAAACGTCCCAAGCACAGGGTTTGAGTGACATTTGGTCAAAGATAACTACTCTCTTTTAGTTTCTACATTTTTCAGAAGGCCTAAGTACAGTGGTCCTGTCTGCTAAACGGGAAGACGTTGACCTCTCTAATATTCTAGTGTTTAGAATGTGACAGAACAGAACACAACAGGTTGAGCTCTTTCTATAAGGGTGACCTCCATCTTTCACACTGGACACAAACACCACACTCACATACACAGTGTACACATTTACCCAAAATGAAATGAAAAGGTCTAAAATAGAAATCTATTTAGGGCCCAATACTAACTTCTAAAAAGAACAGGTACAAATGTGAAAAAGGGATAGGGTGGGGTGGGGTGGGAAAAGGTGTGGCTCTTTCAAGATCAGAGCATGCAGAATGCGGTAGTTTCCAATTTTGGCTACACATTAGAACTCCCTGATCTTTTAAATATCTTCATTATCAGGCCAGGTATTAATAAATTAGCCTCAAATATCTGCAGTCATGCAGAGGTATCTGTATTTTCTAACATATTCTAGGTGATTCCAAGTGCAGCCAAGGGTTCAGAAAGTGGGAATATCATGTAATTTATTGAGAATGACAGAAAAAAATTATAAGCACCATTAAAATCTCCCAAGCCCCTGAGAAGAAAGGACCATGTTTAATTACTAAAAATAGTCTCCTGCTGGCGTGACCTTCCCAGGGATCAACAAGATAGAGCTGAAGTCATACTTATTCGATTTTGTAACCTGCTAAGTGGGAAAAGATCTTTCAAAGGCCTAGTGAGCTCACTAAAGAGATGGGCAGGAATACACCATGCAAAGTACATCTCGAAGAAGACCACAATGTGTGGTGACCCTGACAGATGCCCAGAGGTGCAAGATGTCCTCATTTGTACTAGAAATATATTGCTTGCCCCAGAGAAAACATTCGGACACTGAATTTTCTCCAAGAGCTTCAAAGAAAGGTCAGGATTGGCAGGAGTTACTGACTCATCTCTCTTTAGCTTTCCCTACCTGATAATATTTCTTGGAGTTTAAACTTGGATCTGAGTTTGGAATAGAGAAAAAAATCCAAGGGGTAGAAATGCTGTTTGTACAGCAGAGTCAGCATCACCTTCCAGCCCAGAATGTCAAGATTTTAAACACAGACCATGCATAAAGCACCAAGGGCTAGTGGGAGAGCACAGCAGGACATATACGTGCAGAGAAGTTGAAAAGAAAGTGAGGAACTGCCTTGCTTCCTTGGAATTAGGGTTATACTTTGCTGTCCCAAGATTCTTATATTTACAAGCACAGTTGTTTTGCTTGATGTACTTAGTTTTTCTCAGCCCAGACTGAAAGACAGCAAAATGTCTGCCAAACCCCTTTAGTCAGGACCATCCATCTGGAATGGTTAGGCAACAACTAGAAATGTGATACTATACACCATGACCCACAGTTTAACATTCTTTTCTCTGTAACCCATAGGAAGCAAGAAGCTCCAGGCCTCTAAGAAACTCATGGCTACTATCTATTGTGGCTTTTAATGCATCATTCTTTTAGTTCACTATGTCTTTTGTCTTCAGCAGACTAAAAAAAATGTAACTCTCTGCCGAGAAATAGGAGCTAAAAAGGGTGGCAGCAACCTTAATGCACCATGCAAAAAATAAAATGGTCAGAAGAAGAAAACCATGGACATAAGCGTGAAGAATCCAGTCCATGATGAGCAGCACAAAGAGGAGTCAGAAGTTTCCAGCCCATGAGGAGACAACCCTTTTAAAGACAAGACAACCCCTTTGAAAGACGAACGTACTTAGCTTCCTCCACTACCTCCACTTCGGCATGCGCTGTGATTGGTGCATTGGAATGAGCTCCAGTGGGGTCATCAGCATTCAGCTCTCCATTGGTTGAGCTAACCACCTGAAACAGAGACAGACTTCAATAAACACCATGGTCATATGAAGCTCTTGCTGCAACCAGAGTAGATTAAGAGAGATTAGACCTCAAAGTACTAGCCAGGCAGGGTGTAGAATGTGTGTTTACTTGGGTTAAGGGAACAATGTCCTGATTTAGAGAGGGTTCCTAGACCTATATCATGTCAGAACATTTAACTCAATGATACAGTCATTGACAGTTACCTTCATATCGAGTGCTTACTTTGTGGCTAGCACTATGCTATACTGTATGTGTAAATTCAATCCTTACAAACCTCTTACTTAATATGTCACAATTATTTGTGTGTGTGTGTGGTGTTTGTGTGTGTGTGTGTGTTCGTGTGTGCATGTGCCCATGCAGGCCAAAGGTGAATATTGGTCTCACTCTTCAGGAGCTTTCTCCTTTATTTTGGTCAGGGTCTTTCACTGGGACATGCAGGTTGCTGATTAGGATAGGCTGGCCTGTGAAACTTAAGTCTCCACTTTTCCAGTGCTGGGATTACAAGGGAAGCTACCACTAGTAGTCTTGGGGATAATAAAACAAACAACCAAAAAAAAAAAATCAAAAACAAGAACCAAACCAAAAAAAAACCAACTCAACAACAACAACAAAACAAAAACCAAACATCCACAGGTTCTAGGGCTCCAACTGAGGTCCCCATGTTGCCAGCAAGAACTTTATCAACTGACCTATCTCTCTGGCTCAATTACTTACAACAAAGCAAGTCATACTGATGTATACGTAAGTGGGGCAGTCTCAAGTGCCACAGTGTGCATGTGGAGGTTGGAGGACTGCCTGGGGGAGGTGGCTCTCACCTTCTGTGTGTTTTCTGGCAGTTGAACTCAGGACATCAGGCTGGGTGTGCAGTCGGTAGACCGGGCCATCTTGCTATCCCCAGTACTAATTACTCTTTTTTTAATGGATAAAAACTCTACAAAATGACTTAACCAAGGGTTAAGTTAGGGTCTGTATGCATGTATGGCTTCTGTCTGTCCACAGATTCTTTCATTTTTCAAAACTGTATATAGCTCTGTATGAAAAAATAAGTGTGTAGCTAACTTCTAAAGATTAACTCATTCTGCCTTCTTGATCATGATGGGTAAATTCTACTACTCTGTTTGTTATACTATATAATTATATAGTTTAGGTAATAATGGCTTTAAATATTCTCAAAAGGAAACCAAGAGTGGGCACTAGAAACCATAAATAATCACACTTTCTTTGAGAAATTTCTTCAAGGCTTTCAGCACTGGTTTGAAGTTACTCAAACAAGACTGCTACACCCCTCTGGTGAGGGGGGACAGTAAGGACAAACTTCCCTTGGAAAGCAAGTCTTATTTCAATGGCCTTTATTTCAGGTTCACTGTCATCCCACTGCTCACTGATCGTCCCCGAACTGTCAATGAAGGCTCTCTCCCACTCCTGTCATCTGGTTAGTGTGGACCCGATCAGGCTTGTCTCGTTGTGCAGCTGCTTCTGTCACCTGCTTTCATTTCCAGCACATGATTCCTGCTTATGTGGGTGCTGGAGAGTGGGAAAAGGGACCCAGCACAAACCACTCTGCTGTTAAAGATCTTGGCTGAAACATGGGAGAGAACCACAAAATAGGATAAATGGTTCAGACAGCTTATGCTATTGGGTAAGTAACTGCATCTATTTGAGACTGTTCTTACAGACTAGTGTAAAGCTTATAAAGTAATGGATGGGACAGAACTGGATATGATACCTTTATAAAAACTGGAGGAAGTAAAAAACAAAAAAAAAAAAAAAGGAAGTAAAACCATGTTCTAAAATCAGGCAGCCATGGGTTTGGACTCTAGCTCTACTGGCAATGGATGCTCAGGCAAGATCTTTGATCTTTCTATACCTCAGTTTTCTAATTTGTGAAACGGGGTAACAGTAATGCTTATCCTATTAGGCTAACCATGTAAGATAAACCACAGTAAGTATTCAGCCCAGAGCCACGAGGCATATTAATGGTTCAAAAATGTTCACCTGATACTCTTATTTGCCTCAAGCCAGGTGATTTTTTACTAGCAGCTAATCTTCCAAGATTTCCTAAATTATCCTAAAAAGGAAAGTGGAAGGAAATGTCCATTACTCTGGGAGCAGACTAAGTGAATCTAGCTACTATTTTTGAGACAAGGATCTCATGCTGTAGACTTGCCTGGTGCCCACTATATAGCCTAAACTATATAAACTTATGGTATTATATAAATTTCTCACACTGCACCTGACTCAATCTCCACAGAGGTAGGTTATGACAGGTCTAGAACATCATGTCCAACTTTTTTCTCATTAATAAGACATGACTGAGAAAATTACAATAATGATATATGGTTAATGGGGAAAAAAAGAAGCCTACATTAAAATTGGACTTACCCGAGGAAGACTCAAATTTCTGCTAGTGATCAAATTTATTATCTCTGATTAGTGGACAGCCTAACCTTATGGATACAACACAGAATTTTCCTCACGCTGAATACAGGTGCCTTCTGAATCTAGTCACAATTTCAAAAATTGGACAAACCCAGAATTGTATAAGACAGCTGACTTGGACTCTTCAAAAAAGACCATATTAAAAAGACCTTAAAAAGTTCCTGGAGACTGATACTGATTTAGAGGGATTAAAGGGATGGAGAGATGACTCAGTACTAAGCGCATTTGCAGATGATTTAGGTTCAGTTCCTAGTGTCTATAGTGAGCACACAGCTATCCATAACTCCAGTTCCAGGGCATTTGATGCCTTCTAACCTCTGAGAGCACCAGGCACACATGCGGTGCCCTTACATTCATGCAGGGGAAACAAGGAAACTATGGAATTAGGCAGGGTGGTAAACACCTAATATTACTAGGACTCAGGAGGCTAAAACAAGAGGATCGCCATGAGTTGGAGGCTAGCTTGGGTTAAACAGCGAGACGTGGGTTAGCCTAGGCTACAGAGTAAGATTGACAAAACAACCAAAATAAACAAACAAAACAGAGAGAGATGAAAGGACTGAAAGAGATGGAAGAGGTAAAACAACCAATGGAATGCAGGAATCTTGGTTACATTCTATAGACTACTATAAAATTTTAACTGGAATTTGGGTTGTTAGGTATTACGAGATTATTTTCTTGGAGAAGGCAAGGTTGTCATTGCTTACATGAAAGAATGTCTTTGTTCTGAGGAGATGTAGGTGGAAGTGTATGGAGCTAAAATATACTGTCTTAACTTTCAAAAGGTCTGGAAAGCAAATACATACACACTCAGACATACACACACATACAAGCACAGACAGAAAATTAAAGTAAATGTGGCAGAACTTTAACAAATTGTTAATCTTGGTTAAGGATATTCCCGACTTTTCTGTAGACTTGAAATTTTCAAAATAGAAGTTGGAGGAAGCTAAGCAAATAAAAAAAGGCAGAGAAGGTTAACTTGATTGAGAACCACATTCTGTAGATTTCCTCAGTTCTGCTGCGATTCCTGTGGACACATTTTCTAGCATACACTACTGTTAACATTGGTAACTGGCTCACCCTATGAAAGCAGTCATCTAGTCGGGCAGTGGTGGCACACGCCTTTAATCCCAGCACTTGGGAGGCAGAGGCAGGCGGATCTCTGAGTTTGAGAGTTTGAGGCTAGCCTGGTCTACAGAGTGAGTTCCAAGACAGCCAAGGCTACACAGAAAAATCCTGTCTCGAAAAACCAAACCAAAAAAAAAAAAAAAGTAATAAAAAAAAAGAAGGCAGTCATCTTAAAATATTTGCTTGTAGGGACTGGAAACATGGCTCAGCAGTTAAGAGCACTAACTGCTCTTCCAGAGGTCCTGAATTTAATTCCCAGCAATCACATGGTGGCTTATGACTATTTGTAATGGGATCTGATGCCCTCTTCTGTTGTGTGTGAAGACAGTGACTTATATATATTAAATAAATAAATCTTTAAAAAATATGTTGTTTGTTTACTTAATTTCTGTAGCACTGGGGACTAAACCAAAGGTTGTGTGTGTTCTAGGAAGCCCTGAATCACTGATTCTTTTTTTTTTTTTTTTGGTTTTTCGAGCCCTGGCTGTCCTGGAACTCACTCGGTAGACCAGGCTGGCCTTGAACTTAGAAATCCACCTGCCCCTGCCTTCCAAGTGCTGGGATTAAAGCCGTGCGCCACCACCGCCCGGCTTGAATCACTGATTCTTAATGAACTGGATAAAATGTCATGTAAAATGTCTTGGCTAAAAGCCAGGTGTAGTAGAGTAAACCTATAATGCCAGCATTCAGGTGTCTGAGGCAGGAATATTTGAAGTATGTAGCCAGTGTTAGCTGAAGAGGGATTCAAAGTTAATCTAGCATATCTATCTGCTTATCTCTTCAATATGAAAGAATATGAATAGTAAGAGTCACTACCGAGAATTACCTGTGACTCTGGGTTATGGCACTTGCTAACAGCACTTCATGTCCTATACTTTCTCTTCCCTATGAATTGCTTCTGGTCCTACAAGCAATGTCCTTGGGCACTCTCAGGAAAAGATTATCTCACTTTATAGTCAACATTTTTATCTGTATCAGAAAGCACATGATTGCAAATAAATCAGGCATACATATACAGCTCTACCTGCCTCTGCCTCCTGAGTGCTGAGATTAAAGGTGAGTGGCACTATACCTTGCCTCAATTTATTAATATTTTAAACAATATCATAGTTATAATTTTTTTCACTGAAATTTTAGTATAATCTTTACTGAAAAATAAGACTTCTATATTATGTATATGCACATTTATTTTGCTGTAAACATATTAGCCGGTTATACAAAACCATGTAAGATTATCTATGAGGAAAACTAAGAAAATGTACTATTCATATATATATATATATATATATATATGTATATGTATATGTATATGTATATATGTATATGTATATATGTATATGTATATGTATACGTATATGTATATATATTCATATATAAATGAATATATAAACACATATTCAATATATATGTATATA